TCCATGCAAGTAGCATTTTTGAATTTTTTATCATTTTTTGTAGTTTGCCTTAGGCCCATGCAGAAACGCATAGAGAATTTCAGTGTTATGCGTTTCTGCATGGGGCATCTAAAATCAAAACACCATCAAATTTCATCGCAAATGACTGTTTACTAACAAGAAATGATTGCAACAACCTGATATAGGTCAAACTATTCCATGCAAGTAGCATTTTTGAATTTTTTATCATTTTTTGTAGTTTGCCTTAGGCCCATGCAGAAACGCATAGAGAATTTCAGTGTTATGCGTTTCTGCATGGGGCATCTAAAATCAAAACACCATCGAATTTCATCGCAAATTAATGTTTACTAGCAAGAAATGATTGCAATAACCTGATATAGGTCAAATTTTTCCATGGAAGTAGCATTTTTGAATTTTTTATCATTTTTTGTAGTTTGCCTTAGGCCCATGCAGAAACGCATGGAGAATTTCAGTGTTATGCGTTTCTGCATGGGGCATCTAAAATCAAAACACCATCAAATTTCATCGCAAATGACTGTTTACTAACAAGAAATGATTGCAACAATCTGATATAGGTCAAACTATTCCATGCAAGTAGCATTTTTGAATTTTTTATCATTTTTTGTAGTTTGCCTTAGGCCCATGCAGAAACGCATAAAAAATTTCAGTGTTATGCGTTTCTGCATGGGGCATGTAAAGTTTACGAACCATCTCTTCTTGTTTGTCCTAAAGGACACTTGCAAGACTTGATAGGGATAATGTCGATGGGATATTTAAATGAGGGGCCAACGAGAAATTATAAAGAATTATAAAAAACCTTGGAAAAATTATAAAAACCATGCCCTTTCAAACACTAAATGTTGTATGTCTTAATGTTTCTTTACGGTTTAGACTCAACGATTAGTGATGTTTCTGCTGGTTTAAATTGTGGTTAAACTGGTAAAATGTTCTGTTCCCTTTTCGGTTATTGATAATAATAAGATACTGAAAGAGGACAACTTGAATAACTGAAGAGTGCTTTTCATAAAGGTTTTCATTAAGAGTTTTCATTAAAAATTCATTAAGAGTTTCAGAGAATTTCAGCTGAACATCAGGGTAGCATTTCTTCATGAGCGTAGTAATGTTTTTCTTAATGCCGAGGCTATAGTTTCTTTAAAATGGTAAAAGGAACAAGAGAAGCTGTTTATTACTGTCAAGGTCAGAGGTTTTAGTAGTAGGTTTAAACTGTATGTCGAGAAAGACACGGATTAACTTATTAATTCGTATTCAGATCATCTAAACCAATCTCTAATTCATTCATCTTTAAAGACCGCGACACTCCACTTTTGTGCTCTAACGTTATTTACAAGTTTACTTGTAGTGGCTGCAGCGCCATTTATTATGGCAAAACATCTCGAAATCTCATGATTCGATGTAGAGAGCATTTGGGAATCAACAATCATAGTCAAGGTGTTAAAACAGTTAGCCCTTTCTTCATTCAGGATCATATTTCCAAAACTGGAACCCGCATTAAAATCAAATTCTTATAAAAAAGATCTATCCTTAAAAGAAGTTGCTGTCTTAAGATTAAACTAACTTACTAGAAGCAATTTTTATCGTTTAGATAATGAATGATTAAAAAACCCATATTGGTTCTTAGGCGCTCTGTTTTATTGCGTAAGAAAGTTATTGCGAGAATGCTTCATTCATTTGGAAATGTCATAATTTCTGTTGTTTTTCTCTCTGTAAGAGGCAAGTGCGATGCAGCAGAGAATAGAAAAAGCCACCAATGGGTCCCTCCTGTATAAGCCCCCGACAAATCAGTTCCCATGTTGTTAAGCCCCACTTGAGGCTTATCGTTGAATAATGAACATGATTTTAGCCAGTGATAAATCATGTATTAAAAAAAATCTGTTTTGATGATATTATTTTTGTTTTAAAGACGTGGCGAGACAGGCCTTGTTAGGAAAGGGGGGAGGGGGGTGTTGCTTACGAAACTTCCTGAGTGAGAAAAATTCCTGCAGTAAGGAAATTTCGAAATTACTTGAAGAAGGCCTGGTTTTTCCGATTTAGTACCAACAAGAAATCTCAAAACCTTCGCGGGAATATCATTAGGGACGGATTTCAGCGGCAATGATTGGGGGGTGTTTGATTGGATATTGGTGCCACACCTTTCAGGTAACTGGAAAATGATGGAAAGGCCCATTTTAGAAATTAAACTTCTCGCTTCAAGGTGAAGAAGTTTAGGAAATAAAAAAAGTAAATTGTTCAATTATTTTTTAGCTACTAACCACCAAAAATATTTTCAACCGAATCAAAACAAAATTTACCAAAGGACACAAAAATATTGAGGGGTGGCGCACCCCCTACAGCCCCGTCCTGGTAAATCTGTCCCTGAATATCATATTAACCAACGGAGTAACAATCATTGCCTCAGATTCTTTATTGATCTCTGAAGACGTAGGGGCTCTGAACTACTTACAATCTTTCTTCCATTGAACTGAGGCATCAATCTGAATAAGAAATCGAGCTTTAAAAACATGTCCAACTGTTCTGTAAAATATCTAGTCATGCTTCAACTCGTATTTCAATTTTCATGGAGCCTGTGAAACTAAAACCGTTGATGTCTCAGATTGGCTATTGCCTGCTGATTTGGGTGTTTCGAAAAAGAAAATTTGAACAATAAGATAAAGTGAATTTAAGAGAGGGGCTTATAATAGCATATATTTGTGATGCTTCTAGATTTGAAAAATTATTTGAAACTGATAGCTCTTTAAGCCTTCATCAAATGAACCTGTATTTGCTTTTGGTAGAGGTCTACAAACTCGCATCTATGTTCTAGCTTCATAAAGCTAGCTTTGGTGGAAAAAATTCCTGACAATCTAACGTCTCTTGATGAACTACAATTGTCAACTCTCAACATTTTATTCAAATTTTGGTTTTTTTATTGTAACAAGTATTTCACTCATTTTATGTTTTTAATAGTAAATTTTATATTTTTGTAAGTGATTGGTAAGCATCTTCAGCCTTATTTATTTGCAAACCTTAAAATATTACTGAAAATAGAGCTGTGGAGGATGTAAATCAACTTTTACTGGTTTACTTTTTTTATCAGAATGGTAGGAATTCTATACTATCTGTGATTTATTCAAAATTGCCCAGAATTTGATTCCTTGACCTGTGTAACAAGTTTATCTGGTTCTTTAGCCAAAAGAATAGTCGTAAATCAGCAACTAATTTTATATCGTTGGCTTCGAATTATGGGAATCATTTTGGAGGAAGCTCTTTGTGTAAATCTGCATAATTTTATTCGTATAACGCATGATTATATCACATATTCTTAGCTTTATATTAACTAGTTGCTGTTTTCTAACTTACAAGTCTAAATATGTTTTTAAAGTTTTGTGGCGATGGATCATTTCACAAACCTTTATTAAAAGTTGTCAGAAAACGCACATCCGTTGAAACACATTTGTGTCCTGTCTAACGCATATGCGCTTCACGCCATTCACAGCTAGGCCCTGCATGTCCGCCATTACACTTTAACACTTGAAACGCATATGCGTCTCGGCCCATGCAGAAACGCATGCCCATGCAGAAACGCATAGTACAGCGGCACCACGGGGAGGACTTGGGAGGACGCGTCCTCCCCATTCGTCGCCGAGACCGATTTTCTAAATATTCTAAATTCAAGGAGAAAATATGGGGGGGGGGGGTAAGGTCACACAATTTGTTAAGACCTTCTTTCAACATATGTCCTTATCAATCATGTATTGTTTGACCGTCCCCTTCCATGTTTTAATTAAGGGGGAAAAAGATGCCTCTGCAAAAAATACAATCTATCGCTATAACATGTTGTGATTTTAGTAGTCACCTTGTTCTCGTTTGATCATAGTCAATATAAAAATTGACAATCACACACATTCTTCTGACTATGATCTGACAGACAGATATATGTTGATTTTGGAAGAGAATTTCATTATGTGTTAGTTATGAGTATACCGTAATTAGATGTCAGCCTTCGTGAATGTCTTTTTCAAAGACCTGATGATGATAGAGTTGGTGCCAAATCATTATATCAATGACAAGCCTGCTAGTTAGATATACATACTGACCAAATTCTTCAGTTGTGAGATGAGTAGTGTGATGGCGGAAGGTAGAGATCCATCAAGAGAAATAATAAATGAGGCCAACAGAGCGCAAGTACTCTTGATTTGAGACCGGTGCAGCCCATTCGTAACTTTTAAACTTGCAAATCATGTATTGAATAATTCAGCTTCTGTCTCAGAGAGAGTAGGGGGCGTGGTCCAAAATCTTTTTCCCCCAGAAACCTAGATTCTCCAGGGGCAAAGCCCCTATCGGAAATC